ACACACATATATATATATATATATATATAAACTAATTTGGATAAAGGGTATAATTTAAAGGTGTTTTTCTCTTTCACCTCACTTATTGTTTAAACTACAAGTTTCATACCTGTGAAGTGCCACCCAAGAAATCATACATTGAATGGGGAGGGGTGTTTTGGACAAGAGAGAATAGCAGTAAGAAGGTTAGATTTGCTCAAAAAAAATTGTATTCACGTATGAAATTTTAGCACAATGAAAAAATTAACAGAAATCTTCACCAGATCCTTTATCCTACCTTTTTAAATTCTGTCATTGCTTAAGATTTTATTTTTTATCTTTTGATATGTGCCCAAGAGTGGTATTGCTGGATCCTGAGGTAGGTTGATTCCCAATTTTCTGAGAAACTACCATACTGATTTCCATAGTGGTTTTACAAGTCTGCACTCCATCCAGCAATGGATGAGAGTTCCCCTTACTTCACATCCTCTCCAACATAAGCTATCATGGTGTTTTTGAATTTAGCCATTCTGACAGGTGTAAGGTGGTTTCTCAGAGTTGTTTAGATTTGCATTTCCCTGATGGCTAAAGATGTTAAACATTCCCTTAATTGTTGTTCTACTATTTGAGATTCTTCTACTGAGAATTCTCTGTTTAGTTCTGTACCCCCATTTTTAATTAGATTATTTGGAATTTTGATGTCTAATTTCTTGAGTTCTTTATATATTTTGGAGATAAGTCCTTTGTCTGATCTGGGATTGGTGAAGATCTTTTTCCTTTCAGTAGGCTGCTTTTTTTTTTTTTTTTGATTATGTCCTTTGCGTTACAGAAACTTCTCAGTTTCAGGAGGTCCCATTTATTTATTGTTGCTCTCAGTGTCTGTGCTACTGGGGTTACATTACAAAAACATATATTCAACTATATACATAGCAGCATTATTTGTAATAGTCAGAACCTGGAAACAACTTAGATGCCCCTCAAACCGAAGAATGGATAAAGAAAATGTGGCACATTTACACATTAGAGTACTACTCAGTGATAAAAGACAATGACGTCTTAAATTTTGCATGCAAACCGATGGAACTAGAAAACATCCAGAGTGTGGTAACCCAGACCCAAAACGATGATGAAAACAGAGGCAGAGACCCGCCTAGGAGCACTGAACTGACCTCCCAATGTCCAGTTGAAGATTGGGAATAATGAGAATATGAGCAAAGAGATCAAGACCATGATAGCTTCACCCACTGAAACAGTCTACCTGAGCTAATGGGAGCTCACCAACTCCAGCTGGGAAGAAACAAGATAGGACCAAACTAGTCCCTCTGAATGTGGTTGACAGTTGCATGGCTGGGGCAGACAGAGGGGCCACTGGCTTTGGCACCAGGATTTATCCCTACTGCATGGACTGGCTTTTTGGGAACCAATTCTCTTTAGATGGATACCTTGCTCAGCCTAGATATACTAGGGAGGGCTTGGACCTTCCCCTAATCAATGTGCCTTGCCTTCTCTGAGGAGTGGATAGGGGGTGAGGGAGTAAATGGAGGGAATGGAAGGAGTGGAGGGAGTAGGAACTTGGATTGGTTTGTATAATGAAAAAAATAGTTTGTTTTCTTTTTAAATTAAATTAAATTAAATTTAAATAGATTTTATTTTTTGTGTATATGTGTGTGTGTGTGTGTGTGTGTGTGTGTGTGTGTGTGTTTGCACATGAGTGAGGTACCCAGAAGCTGGAATTATCAGAGGTTATGACCCATCTAATGTGGGTTCAGGTAGTCAATATTGTGTCTTCTGTAAGAGGAGTATATTCCTAGAGAAAAGGGTTATTTTTATTTTTGACATATGCATATATAACCCTATGAATTACTTAAGGTATAACTACCAAATAAAAATAGTATAGCACCAGCTAGCAAAAAAACAAAAACAAAAACAAACAACAAAAAAAAACCCTGCACTTTCATATGTTCATATTTAAGTGTTGGCTTTGGTACTTGTCAAACCTAAATATATTAAACTGCTGACCATTACATCCTTTGATACCCAAGAAACCTGAATGATTTTCAGTTACAAGTTAACTTAGTTTATTTAAAGAAATTTACTTTAATTCTTTGATTGAAATGTGATAAATATATTATGCCCTTTCTAGAAATTTAAAAACAAAATCAACTTACAGAAATACATACAAAATTTTAAATAATGAAAAAATACTGATTTTAGTATTGGAAAATCCAAGACTTCAGAAATTTACAGACTGTTTATAATTATTTTTATGTTGCATTGACATGTTTTAGAAACATTTTCCTTTAATACAATACAAATTCATGTAAAAGTTGTCCTCCTTTATGTCAATACAGTTGAACACAATATGGTAAATCCAGATAATATTGATAGTGAAAACTGAATGCAGGTGTTTCAAACCTAAATAGTTGGGATTAAGAACCCTTTAGAAAGCAGAATTTTATATTCCATATCAGTGCTTTCTTATCATCTCTTTAAATTCTTAAGCAAAAGAGGTGAAGCCATCACACTGTTATCAACAACCAAAGCCCTGATTTATTCCAAAGTCTTAGGACTGGGGTCTGCTTGCAAAGGATCTCTGCATTTCTAAATGTAAATTTTGAAGGAGAGCAAGCCCTTTGTTTGAGCTGCATCAGCTGTCAGATTACCTGAGGAACTGATGATAATCATTCCTTGGTACCCAGGACAGTTATTCAAATCTGTCCAAGACTTTAATTTGTTGATTTTAGTTATGACAACAAAAAATATAAAGTCCATAGTATCATTTCCAGTATTACTCTACATTTGTAATTAAAAGTATCTGTGAATGTCTCCTAACAAGAGTTTTTTTTATATTATTTGTTTAGTATGTGTAAGACATTTTACACAACACTCTAGCAGATTATAGCCTTTATATTCACATTTTATACTAATTCTTAAGCAACACAAATTCATCATTACTTTTAGACTCAGTTTTGATAATATTATTTAGACAAAGCTAGTAATATTTAGAAATAATATCTTTTTTCAAAAGTAACTTTAATCTATTGCCTTAAAATAAAATTGGGTTTAAACATCTTTTAAAATTCAAGAGTTATATTGTATTTGATAATACACTTTGGTGTGTGATTAAAATATAATATGTTTGTCACTATTTCATAAATAGAATTTTCGTCTCTCTCCAAAAACTGTCATTCCTCAGATTATAACATATTTGTATACAGTTCTTCTCACATGGAAAAGAAAAAAACTTTCAGATAGATGTGAGATAGGTAGAAGATTTATAAGTAGATGATGTATTGTGTATGTATACATAGAAATGCATGCTTTTACATAAAGACAACTTTATCATACCTGAAATAACTATTTGCATCAGTTATATGATGCATATTAATCTTAAGATGACTGCAAGTAGAGAGAAAAAAATATGAATAATGATTTATGAGAATTCTATAGGGTGTGACAGGTCATGAGTTGCATGTGGTATTGCAATTCGCTGCCCTTGAAAATCTTCAAAAAATCCATGAAAAGTAGAGAACAACTCTTTTAAAATAGTAACTACATACTTTTATTTTGTACATGTCATTTTTATATGATATAATTGCAGATTTTGGTCAGGTATTGATCACTTTAACTTCAGCTATACTGTGGAATTTTAATCAATATTACTATGGCTACCTTCAAATATGACAGAAAAATCTTGAAATATATAAAATATGTATATGCATTATACCTAAAGCACTACACAACTGATATCAATAGCTCTAAGTTTAGCAGTTCTAAAAAAAAAATCTATTGAGCTTAATGTATTCTAAGTTATCAATGAAATTGAGTTTTTTCCTTGTTTTAATTTTCTTCAAAACAGTTGAAACATGTATAATAAAGTGAAAACTTTGTTTTTTACACAACTAAGTCAAAAGAGAGGTCTTTATCAAAGAAGATACTCCTTATATTGATCCAACGCTAGAGACCAATCGCTAGAGAAGTCAGGAATCTGAGCATTAGAATCAGACCGGGTTTGCCTGCTTATCAGGCTATATAGTACTGGACTGCTATATCCTCTGATCATCAAGTTTCTTTCCTTTTATACAGTGATGAAGGTAGTATCAGCTCATTAGCATGTCATCAGTGTTTTACAATCAAGTTCAAGATCCTACACGTGCTAACAATCCTAAAGAGGGAAAGACCCATTTCCACATTAGTAATGTAGTTATTAAAATACAACAGAGGTGGAAGAGTAATCAGAATACACTATGTATGTGTGAAAACTGTCAAATAACAAAATTTATTAATAAATAAACAACAAAAGCATCATGAAAAAAAGTTCAGCATGCATCAATACCCCACTTTGAGCTGAAATTTCATTCTCAAGTCCTTCACTGCTGCTGGTACTGGAAAGCAAACAATAATTAGCTCTATGTCTTCTGGAATCATGCTTGTGAAAATGATTGGTACACAAATTCTAAAAACAAATATTCTTTCTCTGGAAGCTTGAAATGTTAATTGGATTTATTTCATTGGCAGGTGTCAGATGCTGTGTAATCGAGCCTTATCTGGAACTTGTATATTGGAAGGTGTTAGAGAAGAGACTTCTTGCTAAATCTCATCAATATTCAAAACATATTTAATGAGAACTCTCTTTGTACCAAATTGTTATTGCTTTCTGCAGATACAAGTTTAATAACAGCACAGCCTCCATGAAGCTATTCTGCATGATCACTAGACTATTTCCAATACAGCAACCAATATGAATAATGACTAAAACTGAAGGCCTCATAGAAGACATGTTTCGTCCTTTACTGGTGGTGGATAGAGTCAATTCAAACTTAGTACAATGACCTATTGAACAGTGCATAAGGTAGTGATAATTGACCATTTTGTTTAAAACATTGTAATGTAGCACATATACCATATATTAAAATAAATTTCTTTTCAGTGATAGAATGTTTGCTTAGCACATACAAGGCTCTGGGGGCCTATCCCCCGAATTTCAAAAGTAAAAAGAAAAAATATTCTTCTCTTTCAAGGTAACTGAACTGCACAACATCAAAAATATTACCAGACTGCCTCGAGAGACCAAGAAGCATGCCGTGGCCATTATCTTTCATGACGAAACGTCAAAGACATTTGCTTGTGAGTCAGGTAAGCAATTTCAGGCCCATCTACAGTTTGAGGAAATTGAGTTGCTTCAGAGACAATGACTCAGACAGATGAATCCACACGGAAGTCTGAATAGGTTGGTATATTGTAATGAGAATGTGCTGGGAACGCTTTGTAAGAAGTTAAGCATACTGGTATGCTGTAGAAACAGATGTTTTGGATTTTAGTTTTCTTATCTTTGGAGCTTGTTCCCAGGTGGTCTGAGGTCTCTTAGGGTTTTGTTCAAACTCTGAGAATTTAGTAAACAAACCTGGGAGATGTTCAGAATCAGCATGTGACTTGTATTCTGGGTTTGTCAATGCGTAGCCGTGAAGCATTTCCTAGTGTCATAGCAACACTGCCATGGGAAAGCTCACCCAAGAGCAGCTGCCAGACAGAAGACAGAACTTCGAGCAATGTGTTGATTTCATGGAGTCTCAGTACTATAAGTCAATATATTTTAGATTGAATTTTAGCATGCTAGTTCATAAAATACTCTGACATTATGGAGACTCAAGCAGTTTGTCGTTTGAAACTGCAGTATTTTTTTCAAGGAGCAATTCCTGTGCAAAGTGACGTATTACTTGGCTTATTGCCTTTTAAAGATTCAGTTCAGTGAAATGCTGCATTTGCTCTATGATGAATGTTTGCAGAAAGGATGCAGGAAAAAATGTCCAAGAGCTTTGAAAAATGTAAATTTAAAAATAGTAGTGAAGTTTTAGGAAGCTTTGATATTATTATTAAGAGGAGCTATAGCTAAAAATATTTTAATTAATATAAGCTTATAGTATAAAAACTAATAATGTCACTTTACCTAACAGGAATTGCTTACAATTTATCTAATTTTATATGAGCTTTGCTGGGCTGAATTGTATTTTATCAAATAGTTCATTCCTTTGACATTTTTACCCATCAACCCTTCTGGTATATTTCTTTTCGGTTGCCATCTGGCCTCATCTCATTTAAAATAGACTTTTTAAGTTGCAAAAATGCCTGAGAATTGGTAAAATGAGAATTTATATGCTATTGGTCCTGTTTCAATCTCATTGCTGAAATATGCTATTGTCCAAAATCTTTCATCTTTCTGCCTTCTTGGTCAATTCCTCAAAACTCTCTAAGTTCCTAATTTTCCCTGAGTTCCTAAATATATAATATTTACATCATATATTAAAACTAATTACCAAAATTGTTTTTTACAAAAACATAAGTATAACTTTCCTAATTTTATTTTCCTTATTGTTTAGTATCTTCTATATTGCAATATGCAGTATTGAGATGTATAAAGAAATCAGATTTCAGAAGGAATGATTTTTAGCTTAATTTATTTAGGTAAAATTTTTATTTGGAAATTTTGGAGAAAGGTTAGTACACAATTTTGCTATTTAATTAATTAATGAACTCAATATAATATCTTTTTTACTCTGATATTATCAGTGCTACAGTAAAAATATTTGATATAGTTAAATGAATTTTATGATTTAAATAGCTTTATTCCACTTTCTAGTTTCCTATTAGCCGTATTTTAAAGTAGTTTACAAATTTTGAAAAGTTATACAATATTTTTTCCTTTTTAAATTTTAATATTCTAAAACATTGTGAGAGTACATATTCCTTAGTGTATAAATGTGAATACATGTATGTATATAGAATTGTATGGCATGTTCCTTTAGATTGCAACATTCTCTGGAATGGCAATATTTGCTCCAGGAGAAAAAGGGAGGCTAATGAACATCAGTAAATAAACTAAAAGTCACCAAAAGTCACAAGTGAAAAAGAAAAACATAAAAACTTAAAAGATTATTGAGGACTTTATCCAATAATGTAAATGGGAGTAAACAGTTTTTGGGAATGTAGACTCACATCAGTAAAACAGAGAAAAGACATTCTCACTGTGGAGCAGCTTATAGAATAGAAAGCTTCAGAGTTGCAGTTTCAGAAGAATTCACCCATTTGAGGGTGAGCTCTCTGGTGTTACAGTTGCTTTTTGTGTAATTGTCATTTCTTGTAACTACTCACCCAAACCCTTGTTAGTAAGATCAATAGAAAAATTAATTGGTCCACCAAATTTGGCATTGTTAGAATCATTACTTTGGTCTTCAGGGGCTCTCTTTTTTGGGATAAGTTAACATATGTATGTCTCAACTCCTCAGGAAAAAAAAATCTGTCATACAGTTCACACATATGTGCACAGGAATAAATTACATCCCGGGATCCTTACTGCTCCATGTCATTCTTTTCCAACACCATGGTCACCTCCCTTGTCTGATAAAGGCTAAATGCCACAGGGACAGAGGAAAAGTAGATATTTCTTTGCACTCTTATATTAAAAGACATTTTAATGAGTTTGTATTAAACAGATATTGCACATGTGTTCTGTGTGTGCATCATCCTCCTGCCTAGAGTGAAAAAAATCCAACTACTTCACGTCTCAATACTGGTACATTGACTCAGAAAAATTCATGCTCAGCCCCATGTATGCATTTGCACTTTTTGGAGTCTTGACCTGGAAGAGAGGATTACAATTTAACTCTAGGAATCAGGGTAGCAAGGTGTCCAGGGAAGAACTGTGAGCATCACATCAGTGCATAAGGCTCAGCACCATGCACAGTTATCTGAATTAATTCACAAGTGCATTTAACAATTTCTAGGAAGGCCATAAAATTAATATTTAATATGAAATGGCCAACTATACTCAGAATCTAAAACTTGGTTTCTAAAATAGCTAACTGAGTTTATGGAAGACTGGTTGATTCTAGGACTAAAGGCAGGAACCAGTCAAAATGAACTCAGAGCATCTTTCAGAGCTGAAAAATACAGAACAGAATTGGTTAATTAAATCAATCAGTCAATAAATAAATCCAAACAAACTCTTAAAGAAACACAAGTTTGGAAAATCCACATCACGTGAACAACAAAGAGAAAAAGAATGAGATTATTACTCCTTATAAATATTATGAGGGTTTGTTGATGTAAATAAATGTTTAAATAAATTGCTGATCAGAGATAGACAAATTCACCAAGCAGAAGAATCTTTAGTTAGAAAGTGATATGTAGTTCCTCACTTTTTAATTATGAGATATTCACTGTGATTTTATTCCAAAGAGAAGTGTGAGAGAAAGAATAACTTTACAATGAAGGGGAACAACATTCTATCTTAACAGAGTTATCTGGTAAGGATTTTGGAAACCCCCAACCATATCTCACAATCTTTGTCCTAACAAAGTGTGTGCCAAATGCAATAATAAGGGGAAAGATAGGACAAATTCAAATACTACAATATATTGCATTAGATCTTTTCCAACATTTGAGACTTGCTCCATGAAATGGAACCCATACCTGACACTGCTTAAATATTTTAGTTCAGACAGCTTCAAAATCTAGGGATCATATTCACAGCACTACCACCCTAAGTCAGAACTGCCATGTGATGGACGCATTAAATCACAGTGCGTCCTTCATGTGTGTTATTTTAATCACTTTAAGATAATCTAAGAATCCTCACAGTTTTTACTTTGGGTATTACCATTATTAATTATAAGGAAAAAATGGTTTATTTGAAGTGGTGCTATAATTTCTTCTATAAGCACAATTCAAAACTCTATTCAGTTGTTTTAAACACAATTCCTTCCAACAAAGACTGATGCTTATCATTCTATATTTTACAGGATCAGTAACAATTAGCCTAAAATTTGAATATTATAATGGTAATGATTGTTGAGAAATGAAGGGTTCTTCTGTAAAACAGTGTGGTCTAAGTTTTAAGAGAATTATTTTCTGGAAATGCATCTAAAGTCAGACACCAATTATTTAAATTTATAGTAAACAATTTTCAACTAATGTAAATTATGATTCATTTTAAAGTATTATTTGTTTCTTAAAATCACTTTTTATGTAAGAATATAGAAGCCTGCTAGAAACTAGAAGTTAAGGGGTGTGGGAAAGAATGGTGTGATGTTTTAATTGTTGACTTGAAGAATTTTGATTATACAAAACAAGGGACTAGAAACTCACAAAAAGAAGTCTGATTAATTTATTGAAAAATTACCATTATCATATTTTATTATATATAATTTGTATTTAAAATACAACTTAGGATATTAAGTTCTTAACTATTTTATATAGAATTAAGATATAGTATACCAAATATATTGAAAAGGTTGTTTTATTTTCTTTGAAATTACTGTGACAATTAGAACTTGTATAAATTATTAAACACCCTAAGTACCATCTTGAATGCACCTAATTCTGTCTGATTTTGGAAGATTATTAAACATATGAAAGAATTACTAGGTTAAAAAAACTTTTCTCTAAGGTTAAATTTAAAGCATGTTATTCCTCACCAGTATGAGGGGTATTCTCTGTTATTTCCCAACAATCTTACAGTCAATATTAAACATTACCACTCCACCACTTGGAAACTTGATATCCAAACACATTTATATTAACCTCATAATATCCCACCCCTGGTCAGCATAGGTTTATGGCTATATAGTAATGCAGAATCATTCACTTGACATCAATAGTGCTTTCAGTCTTCAACTGTTTTCACACTATTTACAAGTCCAGTCTATATCTCATTAGAGACTCAATCAATCTCTAAACTATGATAACCTATAAAATTAGAAACAAGTAACATATTACAATACACAACAACACAATATGAAAATTCTTACTCCAAACTGGAAGAATAGTAGAATAAAGAAGAATCCTAGGATCATTTTAATAAATTCAGAAATAACTTTTGATAAAAAAGATCAAAACCTAGGAAGAGAAACACTAAATCATGTGACTCCATGTCCAGCATTTGACATTCACTTGAAATCACCTGGGTTCTAAAGAACTTGGGAGGCTGGAGCTGTCTAGTTATGCTTCCTATGCTGCTATGATGCATACAGCTTCTCTCTTGGACCATCTCCCCTCCATTCCGTGAGCTTTTACTGGTAGATGTCTCTTGTTTCTAACATCTCAGCCTCAATTGTGACCTAGGATTAACTCTCAGGGGT